ACACTGACCTGCCGGACGTCACTACCCTGATCTACACGTCACTGCCCTTCTCCATGTATGACGTCCACCACCCCGACCTGCAATGCCGTCACCCACGTCCACGACCACCGTCCGGAGCCGTCTGACCTGTATGACGGCGGTCTGCCGCTCCTCGTCTTCATAGTCGCTGCCGCGCCGCACGTCGTCCTGATCGTCGCTGGCGGCGGCCGGCTGCTCGGCGGCGCCGGGCGCAGCCTCGTCCTCGCTGATGTCGGAGGCGTCGCCGAACAAGTCCGATGCGCCCACCTCTGACCACAGACGGCAGGGTCAGACGCCGCCGCTGTGGGCCGTGACCGCCACACGGCACCGGAGACACACGCTTGTTGACGTGGGAGGTGTGCAAATGGCGCTTACTGCAGCATGTGAACAGTCTGTACACAGGAGACTCGTTCCCATCGTTGTACCCGTGTTGAACGGTATGTGGGCAGAGCTATAATGCTGTCCACGTATGCAATACCTTTCATCGTTTCATCTCCATCACTATCAGCAGTTTTGGGTTTCTTCTTTTTTCCTCGATCGCTTCCCACTGAGTCTGAGTCGCTATGAGCTCCCTGCTTTCTTTTGCTGACAACAGAAAAAATTCATTGACTTTATTTGATGATGACGAACAAGAGACAACATAATCGTGCATAATACGAACAGCTCGTCTCAATCATGCTATGAAGCCACAATCACGGATACACTTGCTCAGCTCCGCAGAATCAAGGGACATCGCGACTCGATTCTCTGCTGGTTCTGAACTCGCCAATGTCCACTGGCGGAATACGGGAGGTGGACCGGGGTACCGTGCCGTACCTGGCGGCGGCAGCCTCCGAGCCGCCATCAGAGCGTTCGCTGTCCGAGTGCACTGCCGAGAACAGAGCGCAGCGTCAGGTCCAGTCGGCACCGCCTGCTCAGGCCGCAGAACCCGAGAGCGGACGCGTCCTCTGCGCAGGCCAATGCCAGCGGACAGATGCACACTTCCACATGCACTGCGGCCATTCGGGCACCAGCGAAGAGGAATGACAGGATGTGGAATGCGGAAGGAAGTAATCAGCAAAATGGAATGGTATGAGCGGTGTCAGCGTCGTCAGTATTACACATCAGAGTGACCATTGGCGACCAGCAGTGAATCATCAGCATACCTCAGCAACTACGCTCCCAGTGAATGAGCTTATCTTTCTGTTTGTGACAAACAGCTGGCATTGACCTAAAAAGCTACGTAAGTTGTTCAGTGCGCTAGCGAGGAACGTTATTCACGTAGATCAGGGAGCAGTAATAGCCTTATTTCTCGGAAAGAAACCAGGAGAATGGAAACAAAAACCAGGAAAACCAGGACAAAGAAATAAAAGTGGAAGCTATATCTTCTGCTATTGTTTCCATAAAGGTATGTTGCTGAAAGATCAAACCAACTATGTCTCCATTCTTCTGATTTTCTCCGAGGAATAGGGCTAATACTACTGTCTGATCTATGTGACCTCAAAAACGCAAAAAATAATTTTGGTACTTTGACGTGAGGCTGCTGAATTATCCGGCCTGCCTAATGGACCGTGCGAGCCTTCCCCGCGTGCTCACGGGAGCCAGCTGTACGGCACAGCATGCGGATAGCACACCACAGCGCTCAGCGCCGCCACCGGGGCCTGTCCGACCGGCGAGCGCCTCCAGCGGAGCGCCCTGACCTACCCGAGGCTCGCTCCTCGTCGGCGACCGGCTGCGGCGACCGCGACCCGGAGCGAGAGCGGCTATCACCGCTGTGGCGCTGCGGGCTCGCGCCGCCCCCTTCCGACTTGGGCGAGTCTGCCGGGCGCAGGGTCTGGTCAGCGCCGGCTGACACCCCTGGCAAGACACGCGCGGACACCGGGCGGGCGTGAAGCGGCCAGCATTCGCGCAATCCTACTAAGCATGCGCGACTGAGACCGCACACGCTTAGTGGGATGGGACGCAATGGCATACACATCTCACAGACGGTGATCAAAATGCTGGCTAATGCCAGACGAGTGCTACCGTTGAGCCCACAGGACGGCAGAGTTCACCTGGTTCTGCCACAACATTAGCATTTCATCTGGGCCGTCCCCGGTCACTCACCGCCGTCAGCAGGTCTGCTTCCCGACCTTACACTTCGTGCTTGACTCCCAGATTTTCCGCTTTTCACCGAGCTCCTGGACCGGGCACTTCCCGCAGGACTCCCGGATCTGTCGCTCCCAGCGGGACTGCCTGACCTGGCGCTTCCCGCAGGGCTGCCTGACCTGGCACTTCCAGCAGGACTGCCTGACCTGGCACTTCCAGCAGGACTGCCTGATCTGGCGCTTCCCGCAGGACTGCCAGAGCCCGCACTTCCTGCAGGGCTACCAGATCTAGCACTTCCGGCACGGCTGGCAGACCTGGCACTCCCAGCTGGGCTTCCTGATCTGGCACTGCCTGCAGGACTGCCAGATCTAGCACTACCTGCAGGGCTTCCAGATCTTGGACTTCCTGCAGGGCTTCTTGATCCAGCACTTCCTGCTGGACTGCCAGATCTAGCACTTCCTGCAGGACTGCCAGATCTGACACTTCCTGCAGGGCTGCCAGATCTGTCACTGCCAGCAGGGCTGTCTGATCTGGCACTTCCTTCAGGGCTGCCAGATCTACCACTCCCTGCATGGCTGCCAGATCTGGCACGACCCTGATGGCTTCCTGGACTATGAGCTGGGCTTCCAGAATTTCCACTGCCAGCAGGACTTCCAGACCTTGGCTTCCTTGCTGGCTACCTGATTTTTCACTTCCTACAGGACTTCCCGGAGCACTGCCTGACCTCTCACTTTCTGAAGGACTTGCAGGTCTATCACTTTCTGACTTGTGCCCTGCTGCAGGACTTGCTGATCCTGACTTGCTTCTTCTGTGCTGTGATGAGCCAGAGGGTGCAGGTGATCCAGACTGACTGCTGGAGTTGGCATCACTCTCAGACCCTGTCAACATGAACAGGGCAGATGTTAAACAAAAGAGGCCTAGCATGAATGCTATTATGGCATAAACCATGAATTCATTGCACAAATTAACAATAAAATGATAGCTGATGGTATTAAAGCAGCATTACTGGATCTAAGAGTAAGTAATATAAATGCACTATTTGTTTATTTGTTTATTTAGGACATAGGCATTCTACAGGCAAAAGCCCAATTACAGAAGTAGTCCAGTTTTAGGAAAACAATAATGTATGACACACATACAAACACACACAAAAAGTTATATAGAAATAAGATGTCAGACTGAACAAAGCATGCCTTGATAGATGCTGTTTTGAAGAAAGTGAGAGGATGCCAGGATCCAGTGGAAATGACAAACAGAAACAGAACTGGCAGCACCACTCCAAATAACACTACCCTACTCTATCAATGATCTCACATGAGCATTGAAGGTCAAAGCAAAGCCTTGTGATTGAACCACACTTGATGAGGCCACAACAGCACTTGCACACTTTGCATGAGAAGACCCAGTATCCTGTTGCTATCATCAAACTTATATCAACAATGCAAAAGATTTTCATTGCACTCACAACAAATCAGGCATTGTGTGGCTTAGCTCGGCAGAAACCAGATTTTAGTGCAATGCAAAAAAATGTTCCATTTAAGCACATAGTAAAAAGGGCATCAGTGGCTCTCACCAATGTTTCAATTTTCATCATCAGTGTTTCACCAATGATGTTACAATTCAAATCACCGTGGATTTGAGTGCAAAAAGACTCAGGTTGACAAGCAGCCAAAGTTGAAAGTCCAGATCCCATCTTAACAAATTGGCCAGATAGTCATATTACAGCCAGGGGTGAACAGCTTCAGAGGATCAGCCAGCATTTTTCTACTTATTTCTTCTCTTTTTGCTTACTGCTGACATGCTTTTTCTATTGAGTCATATAGGAAAATATACCATTGATTTAAAATAAATGAGATCAGGTGGTCAATCCAACACATAATGAAGAATTCAAAAATTAGTTTTACATGGAAGCATTATTTATTTAATCAGGTTTACTGGGTTTACTACTTTATCTGCATTGAATTTTCAGTACAGCATAGGTCTGCTTACAGACCTTCTTTTATACATACATCCTTTTCTCTTGTTAACAGGTGAACATTAACAAGTCCCTTGGTATGGTGTATTTAAGCATGGATAGCCCACCTGGGTATTTAAGTACTCGCAAAACAGGGCATGTGGCTAAAACTCATATTTTCAGAAAACAAAACTAGGTAACCAGTTTGGACCAGACACAAATGTCAATAGATGACTGTTGATCCAGACCCAAGACGCCGTCATGAAGGAATTCTACCGATACATTACCTGAGTTGTCTTCACTTGAGGATTCTCCCTTTGCATTCACCATGGTTTGTGAAAACCCACGACTCGTAAATAGTCCTTTCGTCAGCTTCTTTTACTGCATGCAGTCTTCCGGTACACCAGTGACAAAGTGACACATCGACAGTGACAACAGTGCCACAACCGCAGTGCACCACGGCGACCACACTAACGATCAGTTGCAAGCCAACGACAGCACGCGGTCACCTCGGTCACCTCCTAGCATACGGCGTTAGATAGCCTCGCACGGCGCTATAAAGCGCCGGAATAATGCATTATATGCGCTAGGTTCGTCTTGAATTAGCAAAACAAAAACGTTAAAGTGCTGTTAAAGTGCCTTTTAGCCATGCCGCTTGGTTAAGTACTTGTTGAAAACTGGTCGGTCAGTAAAACACATATATGATCTGTTAGTTAATCTAAGGCATTTTCAACCGAAAACATGTACCATCGTCATACAGAGCCTTAAAAATATCAAGGAATAAAAACGCTGTCTTGAAGTGTGGACATAAATGTCAGCAAATTGGAACGAAAAAAATATGAAGATAGATTGCTAATTTTACGCCCAAAAAACTTGGTTGTGTATTGCTCGAAAATTCAATTCATTTACCACTGGCAAGGTGCTCAAACCTAGCCGAGGGGCACTACATAGGCAGGATTGCAATCGCAGCTGACTATCTAGTGCATTGCAGTGCTTTGAGCCGCCAAATCCAGAGACGGATGCGCAAACGATTCCTTGAACGCGTAAGGAAATAAAACAACAGTATACTGGTTCTATGAGGAGGGGCATGTGGGCTGTGTTTACGGTGGAGATTGCCGGTGTGGATCCAGTTAGGGGTTGTGTGTTCTATGTTCTGTGTAGGGTAAGTACGCTAAAGGTGAGTATCTTGAGGAAAGGTGTCGTGTAGATGTCGTAGATAACAGTTATCACTTCTCCCCCGTGTGTCTCTCCTCGAAACTGCAAAGACACATTGCCCCGAACGTATCCGGTGTGTACGTAATTTCATTAGCGTGCCCGCACCATGCTGAACGTACCTGGTGTGAATGCACCATGATGCTGTGATACCTCTTCATAAATCATTAGTCAGGCTTCTAAGGTTAGTGGCCAATGATGCCGGTCGCTGGCCCGGTCATCATGTCTTTGCACTTGAATGTTCGTTTTGGTATAGGCATAGTAGGTATAGCAAAAGGTGGGATAAATTTGAGTTATCCACCAATATCTGAGTTTACAAACAAGGCATCCACTGTGATGGGTGCTTAAACAATACCAGTGAGCTGAACATTATCCTTGCTTGTGCTGTATTCCAGTCAGCCAACTTGTGTGGAATTTTCATGAAATTGCTTCATGAAAAATATTGTTGCATTATTTTATTTGAAATGTCATTGAAACATCACATTCCTTGAAGCATTGAGCACTTGTTGGCATTTGTGCTGATTGTGTGCTTTACTCCAAATATTTGGATGGGCCACATGTGTGTGCTGAAGTTGTCTGTCATGCTGCTATGTCCTATGCTGGGCATGCTCTGTATGGTATGCATTTTGTGCAGTCTGGCCCATTGCCATGCAGTTGTGCCTTACACAATATGGAGAAATTGTGTATTATATTAACAATATCAACATGTAAAATGTTATGATCCTTGTGTGTGGCTGTTACGCCACTGTGAGTTTAACTGGAATGGGCAGACTATAAGCTATGCAACAAGCAATTATGTGGTGAGAACAGTGTAATAGATTGATGAACAAATAAGTACTTTAAATATATTAAAAGAATGCAACATCATTACAAATGTATCAGTGATAAGTGGACCATTTGGGTTTGCAAAAGAAAAGCATATGAGTAATACAAAATCAGAAAATTAATATTATTAGAGCATTATTAGATTATTAGCAGAGCATTGCTATCAGAACATTGATATACATTTAGTTATGCACACATACACAGGGATATTTAGAAATGCTCAGAGCACTCCTCTGCTAACAGTGAATAGAGCATTCTATATTTCGATGGGGTTTTGAAGTGAGATAGTCATTTTGAAAAAAGCATATAGCACAGTTCACAGGTATGGTCTTTTAAGACTCAAACACCATCTTGCTACTGATCTTGATGCCTGTAAACTTGTGGAGACAATTTGATACAGACTACTTCAATGTCACCCAGGCACGCATGACACATAGAAACGTATAGAAACGCTTAACAACGCACCGCAAGGCGAACGCAAGGCACACATAGAAACATCAGATGAACATTTTCACGTTATTAGCTATGTAATGCTCAAGGTCAAAGAAATATGATTATTGAATTATGTGCATCTGGCATACCTGAGCATGCTTTTGGCAATAACAGACCCTAGCTGGTCATCATCAGGTCTAATGTGTTGGGTGCAGTTTTAAAGCACAAATCATTGGTTGTATATATTCACTGGAGTCTTGGTGTAATAATTGTATATGCCATGTAGGAATCTTGACAGTGCTACCAGTTATGGCAGAAATAAGACTGGGAATCAAATGGCTTTAAGGCAATCCTGCTCATTGGAAAATATTGAAGCAAGCAACATATATTATGATATTCATGCAATTACACCTATTGGTTTGCTTTTACTACTTTTCTTTATTTTAGGCATAAAAGACTGTTTTAGACAGTGAGGTTTGTTCTTTAGTCAATATGGTACTCAATATGTCATTGATTGTGTCCTGGTCTTTATGGAACATTTGCATGACATTGAGGTACTGCCAACTAGCCATGCAAAATTAACACTTACTCATAGTACATCGAACTCATTGAGTGATGGCATTGCGGTGCTGGAAGTGTTCGCTGAGCCAAATGGTGTAAGGTGTTCGTGTTTTGGACCTTTCTCATGGTGTGCTTGCATATATATATATATATATATATATATATATATATATATATATATATATATATATATCCTCGGGCTTGATTTCCCAATGAAGTGGACGTCGATTGGCTCTCAAACAATACTGAGGAAGTCGTGCAAGCATCAATTACGAAGCACGTTTCGTGCTACATAGCATACAAAATTGGACATTATTTCTTTACTGGCTAGTTACTGCGTAAGTACAACTTGTGATCGAACGACCGAACGCCATGATCAAGTCTATCAATACAAGTAGACATGCTCAACTCACAGATATATATATATATATATATATATATGTATATTTTTTCTTCTACATATATATATTATATAGCATACAAAATTGGACATTATTTCTTTACTGGCTAGTTACTGCGTAAATACAACCTGTGATCGAACGACTTAACGCCGTGACCGAGTCTGTCAATACAAGTAGACATGCTCAACTCAGATATATATATATATATATATATATATATATATATATATATTTCTTCTATTATTTTTTTCTTCTATATATATATCCGTGAGTTGAGCATGTCTACTTGTATTGATAGACTCGGTCACGGCGTTAAGTCGTTCGATCACAGTTGTATTTACGCAGTAAATAGCCAGTAAGAAATAGTGTCGAATTTTGTAAGCTATGTAGCACGAAACGTGATCCGTAATTGATGGTTGCACGACTTCCTCAGTATTGTTTGAGAGCCAATCGACGTCCACTTCATTTGGAAATCAAGCCCGAGGAGGCCAGATCTGAACTATTGGACGGTGATGACCTTCCTGACTAAGAACGCCGCCTGGCCTGTTGGACGGCTGGATTTGAATGGCGTTGCTATGGCAGCGCGCATGCCTGAGTGGCCTTGAAGTAGTCTGCACGAAACAGTGCACATCTTCGCGGAAGGGTGGTTCAGAATCTAGAGGGTTTTAGGGTTAAGAAGGGGGGGGGGCTGCGAACGGCACCGAATGACATTCAAAATTGCTAGTTCATCTCGCAGCCTGATACAAATGTGAAATCATCCCTTCAAGAATAGCGCTATAAATGTACATGTGAATGCCAGTTCAAAATATAAAATCACGGACAAATACGCAACACCACGAGAAGGCGCACGTAACAATTTTTTGGTTCAGCAAACGCGCCCGAACGAACAATGCCACCTTTCGGGAAGTTGATGCACTAATTTAGTCGACCCGCCTGCTGCAGTGTCAATTCCGACACCCTAGCCTGGCAGCGACTTTGACGCCATGAAGACGTTCCACGACGTAACCAAACGATGACGTGTTAAGGAACATATTTGCTGAATGGTGAAGCTGTGTTGTTCAGAGCAGTCTTTTACACTTAGATGCAAACCATGATTGCAAGAGAGTTTCTTTCATCATGTCTATTGCTTTTCTCAATATCTTCGAATGGCGAATATTCCAATTAAGGTGCGCGTAATTCTGCTCAGAGGTGTCTGCTGTGCAGTATGCACCTGCGGCGGTAGTTAGTGACATGATCAGAAATAAAACAATCCTCCGTATATTGAAATCCTCTTTAGTGTGAGTAGGTTTGGTCTGCTGACTCTGAACAAAGATGGTAAGTTTTCAGTCAAGGGGCCGGCTCACATTTGTTTAGGGGGACAGTTTACCAAGAGAGCCATTTTCAAGATTATTCTCCGCGGTCCCAGCCATGCTGTTTTTAAGGTTTCAAACCCTCTTGCTTCTGAGCATGCACATGTGAAGTGGTGCATCCTATTTCACACCGTCTATCTGGAAGTCACTAAGAGATGCATTATGTCGTAGAAACATCGCGTGAATGTCCCACCTCACTGCCTTTTTTCGTCATGGTTAAGACAAATATGACTACTGAAATGTAAGGTTTCCAATGATAGAAGGTAACTGGCTAACAGTCACATTGACCTGCATTTTGCACGTCCCAGTCGCAAGCGGTATTCTGTGATAAACAACACAGGCATTTGGACGACTACTGGCTTTGATGGACGTCAGCTCGTCGATAGAATAACTGGAGAATATCACTGTAACTGAATATGCAGATGAAAGTAATAAGCATGCCACCGTGAAGAAATGTTAAAAAACAGGGGAAAAGGCGAAAATGCTCGTGCATAGCTCTTATAACACAAAGTTCCATGCATAAACCAGCACCGCCACCTTGCGGCGCTTAAAGGCACTGCAGGCGAGTCATACAGCCCGCCACGATTACGGGTCTGATGTGGTTAATTTGGCGGCGTCTCTGGCGTCATAAAACGTTCTATGACGTAAAGAACCGGTGACGAATTGAGGGCCGTGTTGACTTCATAGCGAAATTTCGTTGTGTGGAGCCGTCTTTTGGTCTTGGAAGTATGCTGATGATTTCAAGTGGGCTTTTTCTATCATATCTCACGTTGTCTCAATATTTACAAATGTGGAAGACCCTTTAAGTCCATTGCCTGCCAAACATGTGGGCAGTAACGGTGTGGGAAATTTAGTCCTGTCAGGTTCTTGCCAAACATGAACTTTACTGATGCTATCTCTGAATATTTTGGAGCATATGCCGGTAAGCGCTTCTTCGTTATGACGTGTTGTGGCTATGGCATCTGATGTGTTTCATTACAGATACTTGTGTATCATTATGTCCATAGTTTCACGTGTCGATCTCATGATCTGCGGCACCCTCGTGTTCTGTCCTGTGTTTAGAGAAACTGGTGATGTTTGACATTTGGAAACAGTTTAAGCTTTTCATCTAGACTGTGTCCAATAAGTTGGCTTCGGTCCCCAGTGGATTTTAGTTTCGAGATTAATGTTGCTAGGCTTTTTTCATTGACTAGTTATTTATTGCACCATTTTTGTAGTTTTCTATTTGTAATTTTCTTATTTTTAAGTACGGTCAAGATGGATGATGGAAGTAATGGTGGCAACATAAAACAAGAGGCTGAAGTCAACAACAAGAATCTTATTATCAACTACCTACCACAGGCCCTCACAGATAAAGAGTTCTCACAAATGTTTTCCTCAGTGGGGGCCATCAAGCAGTGTAGAGTTATGAGGAATATGCAGGTAAACAATGCATCAAGATAAAATGCTCCTATTTGGGCATTTTAGGCTGCTATTTGAAGCAGGGTGATTGTAAAGCCAGTCATGTAGTGTAGTTAATGTTCTATGATCACTTTGTTGTAGTGGTGCTCCTAGACTCCTGTTACTCATGCACTATTTGTTGAAATCCGCTAGATGCATTGACTGACCTCTGCTAGCGCTTGAGCTTGTCGATGTGTTGTAGTGCTGGACTGTTCAGAGAATGAACTGTGCTGGCGTGGCGCTGTTTATCTGGTCATGTTTTATCGTCCCACAAAATATAGTCTGCTACTGGGTCATATGTTTGGTAGCCAGATATGCTCACACTTCAGTGGGTGTTGTCGATTTGAATGAGTACAAAAGGAACGATTGTTAAGTATGTTCATCACTGAACCGATGGTTTTCTATTAACACGCGCTCGGGTGGGGTGTCATTTTGACCACCACCACCCACCACTCCCAAGTGTTTTCCAGAATGGTTTCCAACGGCGCGGCGTATCCGCGCCAAATTTTGCGTAGTTATAGACAGTTAAATAGCGGATCGTTCGGCACCAAAAATTTAGATGTACCTTGTGAGGTCGCTGAGCTACGGCAGGTCAGAGTTAGTCCATGGATTTAGCAAACATGTTTTGTGAGGAAACGTTCTATCTGATGTAACAACGGAGTATTACACGAAGCAATGCATTTCTGTTTTTTTTTAGCAATATAACGATAGAATTAACAAATTTCATTGGCCTAGGGTCAGGTATGAACGTCAGACCCAGGTCAAACTAACCTGTTTCATTACTCTACAGCTTGCTGTGTAGGTTAGTTTTTGGTTCCCATTTCGAGTTTATTGATGACGAAAATCGCATTATACATCTTCCATAGACTTCTGAGCGGTCAGGATAGGTCATTGACCTAAAATGACCAGGGTCAAAACTTTGTTAGAACATACTGCCTAGCGTAATCTTTAACGCTTATTGGGATGCAGAACGTCAAGCAGTATTGTATGATTTTTGACAACACGACCTCCGAAAGGCCAAATAGTCACTAACCTTAAATGAGTACCAGCGATCTTTTTTAGAATAAGTCTTGAGGTTCTGGGGCACTTAAAACTCTAAGGTGGAGTTTTACCTCGTTTGACCTTATTTGGCCCGAACGTCATGATCTAGGAACACCAAATTTTGGCACAAGTGGGTTCACATACAGGCCAACACACCGTGTGAATGTGGTGCCTTTAGCTCTCTTAGTTTCTGCGGGAGATCTTAAGGGGGAGGTGGCAAATTGACCCCCACGCCATTCGAGCGAAAGGTGTTTAACCGGCCACCCGGGCGCGTGTTAACCGTGGGATGTGCTCGTAGCCAAGTACACGTTATGTAAATACATACCACCTCTGTGTTACTCTAAGCATCATTCCATTTATTGTACAAAATTGACATTGTTATGCTAAGTTTCTCCTGGCATTATCTAATCACATTGTTATTTATCATAATGCGGTGTTTTCTGACGTTGGAGGAACATGACTTTGCGGCACAAATACTTACAGTCATCATATTACCCAGTGATAATTCGACCACCAGCCCCATCCTAACATGTGCATGCCTTTTTATGCTAGTAAGCTCAGTTCATGTGTGTGTGAGGTAGTTTTAGGCTAATCCAGCTTTGGTGAGCCATAATTTTTGGCCACTATGCAGCTTGGCGACTTCTCCGCGAGGTAATGCGAACTTTTGAGTCCATCCGTAGGGACTGGGACTGAAAGTCCTAGTGGGTAACCCAAATAAATTTTCCGCACTGTCTAGCGAAGAATATGGCCAATCTTCCAAGCGGCCAGAAACTTTTTGTCCACCAAATCTGGGGTAGCTGTAAAAATAGTCTTACACCAACACCAATATGCATTAACTAACCTCAGTTGACTTGTCGAAAATTACAATGGTAAAGCATTATTAGGTCATAGGTCTCCAGTTTTGTCTCCTCCTCCCTCTATGCAGTCATCGGCTGGCCTCAACTGCGCTGAATCCCCTTTTCCTAGCTTTTGAAACAGTATGTTTGTGGACGATAATGGTCTTCCTGATGGCGCGACCATCTTTAGGGGCCGTCCGTAAATTACCGTAGGCATGGAATGGGAGGTTTGATAGACCGTAACAGTTGCGTAACGAGGCAGGGAGGGAGTTTTTTTAGGCAGTGTGACAGCACATCCAATTTTGTTGCAAACCATGCTAGTTGTTATTTTAATCTGATTAAAACCTCAAAGCCGGGTTCTATTGGGTTTCATTTATGACAAGGAACACGACCGTTATTGGCCTCTCAGCTCTGTGTCAGTTGGGGGCCAAGTAGAACTACTTTGTTGTTTATGCTTGACGCAGGTAGGGAGAACCTCCAACTCCCAAAAACTTCAGCGGAGTCTCCCAACTAAGGAGAGGCAGGTTTCGTCTAGCATAGTTGTTGCTAAAGCGGAGAGCGAGGGAAGAAAATGACCAAAAATCCGTAACGTAATTTTTGGACAGCCCCTTCCATGCGTGTTATGATTGTTAGTGCTTGCCGGTATTCCATGAAGCAGTGCTCCTGGCTAGTAAGTGTGAGGAAAAATGCATGTAATCAGATACGCATTTTGTATCGATGTCTCTCACATATTAATTGGGCAAATTTCTTACGCTGAGATGTGTAAAATGAACCAAGGAATTGATACACTGAAAATTGATTATGGACCAATCCCTGTTTAAGATAAGGTCATGATTCGAAATAGTGATTGTTGGTCTTTTATAGCACTGCATGGTGATATTGCAGGCAATAGATGATATTTTCTGAGGTATCCAATCAACAAAATGTAACGCACTAAACGATTGAATTCTCTTGATTTAGACTTGTTTTACCTGCAGATCTGAACGATTTATACCAGCCCGGAATTTCACAGCATTAGTGTGGATGGGGTCAGCAAAGAGGCTGACATATTCGTTGCGTTAAAGAGCTCGCTCTAGTCTGTACTCTGAGGACTTCTGTCGGCAATCGCTGCAGCTCGGCTGGGAGCGCTGGGTGGTGACACGAGAGGCAGCGGAATCCGTGGACCCGGCGGTCTTCTTGCAGCTGTGTCAGCTGATGACTTGCGTTCGTGGCGGTCACCCCGCCAGCGCACGCGCATCGGTGGACGACTAGCGCCGTGTGTTGCAGACCGGCTACAGCTTCGGTTATGGCTTCGTGGAGTTCATCAACCCTGACGACGCCGACAAGGCCATCGCGTTGCTGGATGGCCTGCGGGTGCAAAACAAACGGATCAAGGTGTCGTACGCCAGGCCGCCCGGTCAGGACATCAAGGACACCAACCTGTACATCCAGAACCTGCCCAGGTGCGGTGGGGGGGGGGGGGGGGGGGGG